TCTCTGGCTTCCCCTGGGGATACAGCCTTCCACATCCCCTCTGGCTACCCCAGTCCCTGACTCAGCACCCCTCTCTTGCTGTCACACTTGCTGTCACACTATCTCTTTCTCCGTCTCTAGTGCTGCAGTGGTAATAATTTCATTCATAGTCTGGGTCATTAGGCCTCCCCAGGGGTTCCCAAGGCTGAACTCAGCTCATTTTGGCTGGGAGTTACTTGGGAGAGGCAAACACCCCAAAGGAGCTCAGACAGTTTTCAATTATGGATCAGTAGAAAGGCCCCTGCTGAGCTGCTCCTCCAGAACATCAGTGGGCTGGGCAGGCTGGGCAGGACTGGCAGGTGGGAAGAGGTGGACGGGGTTTTAGCATCAGTAAATGCTCTGTATCAGGCCTGTTTCTCCAACTACCCTTGTCTCCACCTGTGCTCTAACAGCTTGCATGGGCATATAAAGTGTGCAGTTGCAGTGGAAATGTTTACCTTTATGGGGAGAAGGGATTTGTCACTGACGTTAGGTTCAGAACTGCCCTAGCATCGAGTTAATCAAAGGCAGACAAACTTTCAGTCTATTTTAATATTGCTTTCAAATTCCTTCAGACAATGCATGCCCATAAGGCATGTACCTAGGGCTACCTCCCCAGTGACCTGCCCTAGAGAGGATGCTCCTATCTGGACATCTGCGAACTTGCACACTTACAGACATTGCCAATCAGATTCATCCAACTGGCACACCCTCCCACTAGGCTGTGGACCATGAGGGGACCACAAAGACTGGCATCCCTTAACAAGGGGGAAGCTGAGGTCTTCTCCCTCTAGGACAGAAATCCTTTGGAGAAACCCAAACAAATTAGAACCAATAGAGATGCCTGGTGGGCCCTGGAGTCCTTGCCATGGTAGCAAATGCAGTCTCTCAGTTAATGCAGCTTTACCAGTGCTCCTCTCCTTCCTCCTATCCAAGACAATTTCCCACGACTCCATGGCTCCATCAGAACCTATAAAGGATTCTGTTATATGCATACTAGGGATTTCATTCTCCTCCTTAGGGGGTCTCAGTTTGGGGGAAAAGAGAAGCACATGAAAACAAAAGATCAGAAGAGGTTGAAAGGACTGTGAAGGGATAAGAACCCAGTTTCTAAACCCAGTGTCCTGCTTACTAAACAGGTGACAATGTATATCAGTGAGCTTAGCCAGATAGTAGGACATAGCAGGGTAATTTAAATGAGAGTTTATGTCCTCACATGAAGGCTAAGAGACCCAGGTTCAGTGGGGTGGGTTTTGGGAAGGGCCCCCCCGCTCCCCCGCCTCATTTCAACCAGGGATTTCTTGCTGCATCTTCTCATGGTACAGGAAGGAGAAACAGAGAAAACATGTGAATTCTCCATCTCTTCTTCAGAGTACATTGCTTCAATACATCAAGGCCACATCTCTATGACCTCATTTACCTGTAATTACTTATTTAAAGCTTCATTTCCAAATATAGCCATACCAAGGGTTAGAGCTTCAAATAATAATGTAGGGGTTTGGCAAAAATTCAATCAATAATACCATGGAAACTCTCTTCATCTATTTTAGCTTCAAAGAAATGGGGACACCCATCCCGGCCTTACTTAAACCACCAAAAAGTGAGGAAATAATCAAAAGGAACATAGCTAGCAAAGAGGCCAGGATAATACCAATTAAAGAAATTATCATCATCATTATTATGCCAGCTTCAGAATATTAAGGTTAGTAAGCAAACTTCAAAGATTTCCAACTCCAATTTCTATAATGTAGCCAGGAGGGAACCAGAGCACAGGAATTTAGAATAGGAATCTACACTTCAGAGTCAGACAGAAAGAGGCTCAAGCCATGATCCATTAGGCTATGCATTATGGTAATCATACTACACTTAGCATTGGTTTCCTTATTTGCTTTATACTAATATAGATAGGGTCCCCTAAAGGTGTGTGTGCCAAAGGTTTTGTCACCGGAGAGATACTATAGGAAGGTGCTTTGGAAAGTGTGCCCTAGTGAGATGTCCTTACGTAACTGAGGGCGGACCCTCGAAAGGGGTATAGATTCAGTGTCTCTGAATCTTGACTCAGGATGTGAACATTCACTCAGACATACATTCCTATGCGATGGATGCCCAGCACATGGCATCCTGATGTTGGACTTGAACTTCTAGAACCAGGAGTTTAAATAAACTGCTCTTTGCTTCCTCTGGAGTGTATTTCAGGTATTTCATTGTAGTTGCATGAAGCTGACTAATACACCTTATTTATATAGGAAAAATAGCTCCTTATGTTTGTAATAAGCAAGGAAAGGCCTAAAATAAGCACAAGTCTGACCTCTTGTAGTGCTTGATGTCCCTGATGTTCAGGTGAGACCATCACCAGCCTGTGCACAGGAGAAAAACAAGACAGACCAAGACAAAACCAGTCACAGCTCCTCATCGCTAGCCCTGACGATGGATTGAGTCCAGTGTGTGCATATAGCCCAACTTGAGTGCACAAATAACTATTTATGATGAAGAGAACTTCTCTTCTTCCTGTTTCTTCTGGGAGGAATGTTAAGCTGTCCCTTGGTATGCAGGGGATATTGCTTTTAGGACCCTCTACTGTTGTAATACAAAATCCTGGGATGCTCAGTTCCCCTATATAAAATGGTAGGGTATTTGCACATAACCTACGCATATTCTCCCATAGACAGTGCCCCTCAGCATCTGTAGGTTACACCTCTGCTGATTCAACAAAGAGCAGATCAAATATATTTGAAAGAAGTGTTGCAATAAATATGTATACAAGTTATATTTATTATTATTCATTCCTCCAAACAATAGAGTATAACAACTAATTACATAGTATTTATATTACATTGGGTATTATAAGTAATTCAAAGAAGATTTCAAGTATTCAGGAGGATGCACCTAGATTATATGCAAATATGATTCCATTTTATTAAACAGATTTAAGTATCCACAGATTTTCCAATCCACAGATTCTGGTATCCTGGAGAAGAGGAGGGTCCTCAGATCAGTCCATGACAGACACCAAGGCCGTACTATGCTTTAAATCATCTGTAGAATACTTACACCTAACATAATATAATGCCACATAAATCATTGTTATACTGTATAATTTAGTAAATAATTACAAGAACAAAAATCTATATGTGCTAAATCTGCACTTTTTTTCAGGTGTTTTGGATCCATAGTTTGATGAGTCTGAGGGTGAAGTTAAGCATACCAAAGGCCATTCTGTAAGCTCTCTAAGTTTGAAATTACAGCCACCTTCTTGCCACTTCAGACAGAGGTCGGGCCTCACAGGCAGCAACGCCAGAGAAGCAGAGCTGACAGGTGAGGAGGCATTTGTATCCCAAACGAGCTCAGTAGGGTCAGTGGGCACGGCCATTGTAAGAGTCACCCCTTCCCCGGCACTTACAGTCACACTAACAAAAAATTGCTTCCCATCTTTTCCTAAAAGATATTTTGAGTTGGATTGCTCATAATTGCAATAGAAAGAGGAAAACTTAACAAGGTAATTGGATTAAGGAGTTGGCAATTAAAAGAGACAAACTCTAACATGGAATTGGCTGTATCTGTGGAAGACCATGGGCAGCCTCCACTGCTAGCTGGGAAGTTGTTCATTCATGTTTTGCAGACATGAATCATCATATCAATTCACCCCTGTCCTGGGACTCGAACAATACACCCACAGAGGCTACAGCATTAAGTGACTCTGAGCTACAACTAAACAAACTGTAAGACGCTATAGCCTGTTCACAGCCAATCTTCAATAAAGTGATATAGTTGTGAATCCCCAGAGAGCAGCAATCCAAATGGAAGCCATTAAGGTCAGGCACGTGAACACTAAAGCCTAAACTGCAGGGAGCAGGAAACCCCAGGGAAAGCCTTATATTCAAATAGTTACATACAGAGAGAAGAATTGAGATTTGCAGATATAAGTGAGCAGTGGTAGGACTCACTATCTCCATTCCCACTGGGCCCTGGGGGTCCCCAAACTTTGCCCTCCATAGCCACTGGTAAAGTGGTCCTTGCTAAGCTGGTCTTTTTCTACTACCCAGTCATGAAATTAGTTTCTTCAGTACAATTGCCCTAGTGGGCCTGAGAAAACAGGTGCATGTCATGGTGTGCTCCACATTGAGCTCAATAAAAATAGGCATCCCATGTGTAAGGAGTTCAAATCCTTCCCTGGGTTCATCCAGAAGCCCACTGGAGAATTAGACTGGAGGGACATGCAGTGCCCCTATGTGCTGCAGACATTCAGAATGAGTCACAGATGAATTCACAAAGAGATACTTGAAGTAAGTGCACTATACCCATCCAGTGCGAGGAGAGAGCAAACCTGTACAGTAAAAAGCAACCTAATTATATGCTCAACCATAGCTAATCTTCAGGCCAAACTAGATGAAGTGCTATTATCCAACAGAGGAGATGTTTTTGAGGGACTGTAATCAATATTGAGACACAATGACTGACATCTTCCTACTTTTGCCTTCTGGGGGATGTGGTTGCATTGGAAAGCTGACTGTCAAGAAAATCAAGCAAAACTAGTTAGAATTCCACATTTGGGCCACTTAAGACTGTGATGTGATTTAGGAGTTCCTTAACAGCCATGGGAATTGCTTCTTCTGCTATGAGATGGCACATGAGGAAGCCACACTGCAGTCATAGCCCGAGCCCATGAAATGGATGGTAGAGAAGCTTAAGGGGGCCTGCGGGGGTGAGTGCTGGCCCTTGGCCGGGTCAGCATCGTCTCTGCTGGTTCAGAGGAGTCCTACCAGAGGCAGGAACCACACAGAACTCTGTGGATCCTGTCACCCCTGCTTCACAAGTCCCACCACACCAGGGTGTCTTCCCTGGGGGCTTGTGCAAGACCAAGCAATCTTCATTTTTCTAGAGTTGTTATTAGCACCTTTATTTGTTCTTAATCCATTTCTCTCTGAGGACAAATGACCTTGGCACTATAGGCTTTCAGTGTTAAAGGAATCAAGGAGAATCACCTGGTACAAACTCAGCTTCCTCTCTCTTCTGCTTAGCATCGGAGGGTGAAACCAGCTCTGTCCCAGGCTGCAGAGTGGGCCCAGATTCCAAGATTCCAAGTACTTTGATTGCTGGGAGGCTGCAGGTCACATCACTGTGGTTACCTCCTGCTGATCTTGTCCTTAATCATCCGATTAGGCCTGCAACAGCAGAAGAGGGGAAGCTGCTTTCCACCAGAAGTGATCACTCATGTTCTGCAGACACTGAGGCACCTGGGCTCAGAGTTTAGAAAGGACTAGACCCAATGCCACTTGAGGACCTGTGGCCAAGGGCCCATCTTCCAGAGAAATCGACCCAGGCGTGCTTCCCAAAAGGCGAGGCAGAGAAAGGGACTCCGACCTGCGGAATGTAGTTCCACAGACATCCGACAGGGGTCAGTGGATCCTTTGATGCTTTGGCTCAGTGTCCTCAGCAAAGCACAAGAGAAGGGCTACAGACGCCTGAGATGCTTCCAGGATGGAAGCTGGGTAACAGCCCCGTCAGCCACCCGGACCTCTTGTCACCATGGCAACAACCATGGGAAGCCAGGGAGAAGATGACTCCCTCTAATTCGGTTTTAATGCAAATTCTACGGATAATTAAGAGGCAAACCACAGTAAGAACATTACAGGAGATATATAGTCACTGGGAAGGTAATAAATGCCTGCCTTGGAATGGATATAGTGAAAAATTTGACAATATGTCTCAGCAAGAAATTCTATCTTTAAAAAAACCTCAACTGTTTCCATCTTTCCCTCCAGTTTTGGAAATTGTGGAAACTGTCACTTGGGCTTTTTTTTTTTTAAACACTGACAAGGAAGGCTCAGGATGGTTTTAAAACTCTCCTCATTAGCAGGTGTCTCCTCTCTTCCCAGAGAGAGTGCTGGAGCTTTTCATGACTGGAGTTCCATCGACATTTCAGCTTCAATTTTCGTGTTGCTGTTGAGGAATCAATTAGGTTGGAGGGGAGTCTCTCTCCGGTTCCTTGGAGCAAGCAACCATGCAGGTTCCTCAATTAACAGGCTCCTGGGTGTCCAGCCCCCTGTTGAGGACTCCTTCACCTGCCTGACTCAGCCTCCGCAGGCCTCCAGCACGGCCCCAAGTAATTGGAAGATTCTTACCAACACGGGGAGCTGGAGCAGAAGAGATGGTCTAATCAGGACGTGTTTTGGCTGAGAATTAAAACTTTCATGAAGACGTGCCCCCTCCAGACAAATGGTTGAATGAGATCTGAAATGGCAGCAACCCAGGCCTGCTTGGAAAAGTCAGCAGCTTCTTAATTAGGGCTGTCTTGCTTTGTGACGCCTACTCCCCTAATGAGGACCCTCAGCCATGAGTGGAGGGGGCGAACAGACCAGCACTGCACACAGAGCTACTCCATGCAGATGTGAGCCTGGCCTCCCCTTACCCTCTCCCTGCGGACACTTTGGCTGGTGTGTGCCTTATCTTATTAAATCCACATTTTAAATTTCAGGTATGGAAGCTGGCCTACTGAGTATCAGAATCCAGTCAAAATGTTTGGAGTTTGAGTGGCATCAGATAAGGAGGATGGAGGACAGAGAGTAGCTTTTTATTTTTTAACTTCCTGATTAACATTCTGATTACTTACATCTGTTTATTAAAATTAAATAGGAATCATAGTAGTTAAGAACTAGAACAGATATTTGAATTTGTCCAGCCCATGGTTTCTTAATTTGAGGCCCATACATTAGTGTTCTTGTAACCACGAAATCTTGAAAAACAGGATATTGTCTGTTGCTGACTGCAGGAGCTATAACTTTTGGGGGGTGGGACTGGGAATCACACTCAGGACCTTGTGCTTGCCAGGCAGGTGCTGCACCACTGAGCTACATGCCCGGCCCCATCAGAAACTATGAAGGATTCATAATATTTAAAAAGGTGTAGAATTATGGCTGTGGTATGACATTTATTACAGGCTGGGAACCCCAAACACAAACCGTTACCTGCGTGAATAAAACAAGGTGATTAAGGGTCAACTAGCCATCTGACAACATTTGACCTCCTAGTATCATCTCATCTCTGCTCTCCTCGATCAGGTAGACTTTCATAACCAAGAAATGAAAAAAAGAGAACAAAATGGCAATAAATGAAATTGCAGATCAGGACTTTGTTTGGTGTACCATCACTGCGCTACGAAAATAGCATTGTCCACAAGATCCTTTGGCTGCTTTGGCGCAGGCCAGGTATGTGAGGATGAAAGACTGCAGGTACAATCTTCAGAGATGGCCCAGCAAAGATGTCCTCTTCCCTGAAACTGCCAAATAATATCTTGAAAAGGCAGATCTCAAAACTAAAATGCATCAAAAAGCTATTTAGGAAAAATCAGTCCTGGGTAAGTAATTGACAGAAATTAATGAAAGTTGGAAATTTGTATAGAAATGACATGGCACAAAGCTACATCCTAAATGCAGCCTCATCTTGTAAAACCCAGTATAGGGATAAGGATGGAATAGCCAATTAAGGCACTTTGGTTTGGGAACAAACACTACTATCTATCCCTAAATGACTCATCAAATCCTAGTGAAGAAAGACATTGACCCAAAACTTGGTGAAGAAGTTCTGAGAAGGACATTCCATCACCTGTGCAGGCAAGGGGCAGATTGACCTCGGAGAGGTGAGTATGTTTTCATAGTTATGGTGCATCAGAAAGCAATGAAAACTCTAAACTTGCATTAAAACATAGATCATAGGTCACCCAACTTTGGTTTTGTCATCTATCAGATAAGTATAGTGTCGTACAACTGGATAGTTTGTTTTGTAGGTGAAATAAAAGTACCCAGATGAAGATTTGATCTCAGTACCTAAAGGGTACTAAGTACACACTAGAGGGCAGTCCATCTCTTTCACTCGCCAGATTTCTCACTAAAAGCCCCCTCTGATACTGTTAGAAAAGAGTGTTTGGGATGGATTGCAATTTAGAATAGACCCTCTGGTGGCTCCAATTATATTAACAAGGTTTTTATGTTTTTATGACAAAAATTAATTTCCATTACCTCTACTTGAAGATAAACTGGTAAAAAGAATCCCAAAGAGACAGCAAAATAAGATGAATATAGAGGAGTGATTCCTCTAATGTTCATCATTACCATTAAATCTAATTTGTGCAGGTTTTTAACACCGAAAGCACAGCAGAGTCAATTGCAAGGACTCCCAGGAATGGAAGGCCCAAGCACTTTTTCCTCCCAGCCACACTGTTCCCACAGCACTGGGAAGTTACCTCTGTACTGAATCTCCTTGGTAGCAGTGATACAGGTACTAGTGGCTGGGGCTAGAAGACCATCTGAGGTCACTGAGCAGATGTCAGAGAAGTTGCCACCTCTCATACAGCTGCCATCCAAGCAGACTCCCTTGGTGTAGCAGATATTGATGACATCTTAAAAGCTTCCTCCTTGAAGCTTCCAGAGTCTTAGGCCCCACCTGTGGTCCCAGGTAGTATCTCACATGTGGACAAGCAAACAAAAAGACCCAAACTCTCCACCTGTTCTGCTTTCTGCATCTGCTTGGTGGGGTGGTGAGTGCATTATCAACCCCAAGGTGTAGGAGAAAGAAAGAAATGTGACCTGGCCCACTGACTTCTTCTTTAGGACTCATCCATGCTATCTAGGAATAAGCTTTAATGGCAACCCCTTAAGACACTCAGGGAAGAATGAAACAACATTTCACATAAAGTCTGAAATCCTGCTGCTTATGCACAAAACGTGAAAGTGCAAATATCAAAGCCAACCAAATAGAAACAGCATTGAAAGATATAAAATACGGCCCTGCAGAAAATGAACTCAGGGATGTGAAAGATAAGTTTAAGAAAAACAGTCTGTAGAGAGTTCCCACATCACTCTAAATCCCACACACCACCCTTCAACACTCCATCCTTTAGATTCTCCAGGACAGTAGATAGCTGCATATTAAAGCCATACTCAGTATGAGGATTCGTGTATGTTTTCTCATTATTGAGATCCTGAATGACTAACAGTATACCTTAGTTACTTTTGAGTTTCCAGTGCCTGGTAGTACACTGAATGAATGAATACCAAAATAAATAAAAGAGTATTTTAAAAAATGAATGACAAGGCAGAATATGGAGATTCATCCCACAAATGGTTAGTATTCCTAAGGACAGTCATAGATAATCACAGATGTAATAGAAGAAAACTTTTTAGAACAGAAATCACTAAAGGGATCTGAGATGAGAAATGGAGAGGGACCATCACATGCTCTACAGAGTTAAATGATAAGAAAATATGCCAAGGCATGTCCTAGGGCAAGGGGGAAGTTCTTTCAATTTCAAAGATAAAGATTCCTGCAAACTTTCAAGCCAAAATGAAAAGAGAGAGAGAGAGAGAGAGAGAGAAAGAAAGAAAGAAAGAAAGAAAGAAAGAAAGAAAGAAAGAAAGAAAGAAAGAAAGAAAGAAAGAAATCTTACATGCTATCCTTCAAAAAGATTCTTTGACTTACAAAAATAAAACCTGAGTGTTCTGGATTCAAAGTAGAGAAAAATGAAGCAGCTGATGTTACAGAAAGGGAAGATTTTGAAAAGAGATTGTCTTTGTTTTGAAATAACTTGCTAACCCTGGGAGGAGCAGTGTTCTTCCATAGGACAGTGTCTTCAAAACCTTCAACCAGCAAGGCTGAGAACCAGCTGTCTCTGCCTCTGTAGGGGAATGTGGGCCACATGAAACCTGGAGCTCTGGGCCCGCGCTGAGCTGCCAGCTGTCCAGGGAGCACAGCACACCCTACTCTGTAGTAAAGAACTAACATCACCTGTCTAAATTGCTATACTTGTGTCTCCTTCACTTTCACATTCCCAGGGCAACATAACTGACACCTACAAATTTAAAAAGAGGTTTGTTTTGATTCACAGTCTCAGAGATCTCAGTTTATGCATGGTTGGCTGGCTCCAAGGGAAAAGTGGAGTGCTGGAAGAGCGTGGCAGAAAAAAGCTGCTTGCATCACGGTAGTCAGGGAGCCGAGAGCTAAGGAAGTAGCCAGAGAAGAGATAAACCCTTTCAAGTCACACCCCCAGTGAATCTTCTCTAATCAGGCCCGCCTCCTAACAGCAAGTCAACTGTAAACCCATCAATGGAGGAATCCTATGATCCAAGCACCTGCCAAACACCTGAAGCTTTTGGAGACACCACGGGTC